GCACCGTGAGATTCATGACGCCGTCGACCCCTTCGACTGCTTTCTTGTTGTTGGTAACGACGTTGCGGACCGGCTTGCATCTGCAGCACTTGACCTCGACGTGCCCGAGGCTCGCATTGCCGTACAATGTATCAGACACTCTGTGCATGAAATCGAATTTGATTTGCATCAAGTCTATTCCTTTTATTTGGCACTGGATCGCTTCAAGGTTGCTAACGAACAGAAGAAACTCGATAAGCGTTGCCTTGACGTTGCAATTTCTGACCAAGTCCAGTCGAAGTCTTTTGATGAGACCGTGCAATGATTTGCAACCTGCCGACAGAGGACCCCATTCAGGTTACTTTTGAGACCCTGCCGGACATTTTTCGGCAGGCTATTCCTGCTGGGCAACTTGCGGCTGACGCAATTTGGACTTGGATGCATACCATCGAGTGGTCATCCAGACGAGCTCCTCTTGAATCAGATCCAGGTATTAATGCATTGGAATTGCTTTTGAGCTTTACTCTTCACACTGGTTTGAGACTTCCCGTGCCTTGGAAAACGAATTCCAAGACTTCATATACTTCCTCTAGGGATTATGACTCTGCTGAGATCGGAATGCTCCCGCCAGAAAAAAGAAGCGCTGGTCAACAGGCCAATACCCTTGTTACTATTATGCGCCAATTGGACGCCATTTCTGGAAAGTGGCACCTACCCGTGCCGCAGCAAATGAACATTCAACACATGAAGATTTTCTATCCGCTGCGGATGATTCAGGTATTTCCCATTAGGCCAAAGCTGCCTTTTGCTGGTAATGTGATACGCGAATGTATTTCTTATTTGCAATTGTGTCGGACAGACTCCTGCACGGCTCAGCTCACTATGCCCTCGGGACCTTTTGCATACACCCCGCCTGAGTTCACTGCAAATGCTCTCTCTACTCCTCAGAAGGGAGGGAAGCTCAAGAATCTCAGGAAGCTGGCACGTGGTCTGTGATTTCTTTGTCGTCTCACCTTTTTCTGTTAAATAGCTATCGGCCAGGAAAAGCCATGGCGATAGTGACGTGGAGCTCGCTCCGCAAGCAGGGGGAAAAAAAGACCACTGGGTGCGCAGGTACGTGCGCGGGGGCAGCGCGCAAAAGCTGGACTGGCTGGTGGTGGAGGAGATCACGCAGCTGGACATGGCGCTCTGGGCGGACCTGGCCTGCGTGGGGCTGAACGCCGACGTGAAGTTCCTGCTGCTGGGAGACTTCCGGCAGCTGCCGGCCGTGCTGGACTCCTGGGCCGGGCGGCCCATCAGCGCGCCGTTGGAGCACAGCCAGCTCATCCGCGACCTGGCCGGCGGGCACAGGCACGAGCTCACGGAGAACATGCGCTCCGACCCCGGCATCTTCAACTTCGTGAAGTGGCTGCGGGTCGGCGAGGAGGCGTGCCCCACGCTGGAGCAGGCCAAGGCGAGGCTGAAGGAGCTCTACCCCTCCAAGCCCGGGTGGCCGGACACCACGCTGGTCATCAGCCACAGCAAGCGCATGGCCGTCAACGCAGCGGCGAACCGGGCCCTGGCGCCCCAAACCTCAAAGCTGCTCCAATTGGAGACCCAGGTCATCCACATAGATTTGGGGTGTTGTCAGACACCCAATGGGTGTGATAAATCTATAACACAAAACAGCCCGCAGAGCATGAAGGTGTGGCCGGGGCTGCGCCTCATTGGGGCCGGCGGGAAGATACCTAAGGGGGTCTTTGTGGCCGTGGCGGAAGTGGAGACGGCCACCTCACGCTGCGCCACCTGTACGTGGGCGCCTCAAGGGCCACGAGCTCCGAGCTGCTGGAGGCGGCCTAGCCGAACGGGCAGCACGGCGCCTCCAGGGGCTCCAGCATGAGGTGGCGCACCTCAAAGAGCACGCCCCACTGCCTGCCCATCAGCCACACGTGCCGGGCGCCCCTGCTCCGCGGGGCGCGGCGGCCGGGTCCCAGAAGAGGCAGCGCCCCAAGTCAATCTTGCACTTGACGTGCTTGCCCTTGGCGCTCACCTTGACGGCGCGCTGCAGCTGGCTCTCAAGCTCGGTGCGGGCGGCCCCCGGAAAGGGCTTCTGGAAGATGATCATGTTGTCAATGACGCCCTGCTCCACCTCCTCCGTCCACAGCTCCAGGTCGGTGTTGGTCGCAAAGCACATTCCCACCCTCTTGGCCCCGTCGTCCTGGAAGTTGCCGGGCTCCCGCAGCACCTCCACATCTACCTTGCACCAGCGCGCTCTGATGGGAGTCCTCTATGGACATGAATTTTCCCCCCGTGGCATTGGTCTGAACGTCCAGCCCGAGTGCAAGCTTCATGGTTGCGAAGTTCGGCTCCTTTTTTTATCCGTAGGAAAAAAGTCCGGTCCGATGAACGCGCGAGTCTTCTTGGTCGTCGCAGTGGCGGTGATCTTGCTCTTTAAAAATGCCGAGACTCCTGGAGCTTTTCTGCGGCACCAAGTCGGTGGGCAGGGCCTTCGAGGCGGCGGGCTGGGAGGTCGTCTCCCTGGACATCGTGTCGAAATTTGAGCCCACCATCCTGTGCGACATCCGGAGCTGGGACTACACGACGTTTCCGCCGGGGCACTTCGACATGGTTTGGGCTGGAGGGCGACGCGCTGGTGCTCAGCGCCCTTGAGATCATTGCGCACTTTGACCCCTTGATGTGGGTCATCGAGAACCCGGCCCTGCTGAAGACCCGCCCGTTCATGGAGCGCCTGCCCTGGGTGGACGTGACCTACTGCAAGTACGGAACTCCGTACAGGAAGCAGACGCGGCTGTGGACCAACATGCGCTGGAGGCCGAGGCGAGGCGTGTGCAGACACCGCAGCCGCTGCGAGGCGTGGCAGGACGGCAGGCACCTCCGCGCCGCGCAGCGGGGGCCGCGGCTGATGGAGGGGCAGTACGAGAGGGTCAGCCAGCAGCCACGCGAGCTGCTCTACAGCGTTCCTGCTGCGCTATGCGACGAGATTGCGCGCGCGGCCACGGAGGAGCTTGCGGAGCGGCTGAGCATTCCGGACTAGCCCGTTCTGGCTTCCGCTAATCCGCGAGGCCTGGAACAAGTCCATTTTTCCGTGGTTTTGCATGTTTTTTTGGGCGCTGCCACTCAACTAAAAAAAAGGCTAAGAGGGACAGCGGGCCTTTTTTTGTCATTTTTTTTGGGCGCTGCCACTCAACTTCAAAAACGAAGTTGAAGGGCAGCGGGCTTTTTTAGTCCAGCACAGAGACGCCCGTGCCGGAGAGCGTCACCAGCTGGTAGGCCACCAGGTGGATGAACAGGTCCGTCATCGTGCCGTCCAGGCCCTTGAAGGTGAACCGGGCAAGGTCGCCCGAGCGGGTGCTGACACCACTCAGCGGCATCTTGGGCACGCGCTCGGTGGGAAAGCCGGCAATGAAGCTGTGGCGCAGGTAGCCCACGCGGCCGATGTCGATGTTGCGCACCGTGTCGTCGTAAGTACCCGCAAGGACGGAGAGGAAGTGGAAGTGCTCCGAGGCTCCCTTCATGGGGTTGTGAGGGTACTGCAGGCTGCCCAGCTGCATCTGAGACTCCAGGAGGCTGTCCTCCTGCCTGGCCGCGCCGATGGGGGCCACGTCCTGCCCCGGGTTGGCCAGCAAGTGGATCTTGGAGCCCGCGTCGTTGTCCCAAAAGGTCACAAACGCGCCCATGAGTTTCGTGAAGGCGCGCGCCACGGTGACGTTGTGTTCCGCCGCGCCGTTCGGGACGCTGGACTGCTGCGTGTGCACCGTGGGGTAGCTGAACACCAGGGACCTTCCTGAGAGGAGCACGCGGTTGAAGGACTCTACCAGCGCCGAGTCCAGGACGACCTGGGAGGCCAGAACTCGGACGTTCTGGATCTCAAAGTCGGTGCTCAGCGTGGCCCCCGCCGGGTGCGCCCCGGCGTTCTCGGACCACTGCGCGCAAATTCAATTTCTATCACCAGGTTCAGCTGCGGCGGCAGCATCTTCCCGCAGCGCAGGATGCCCACCATGGTGGGGCGCAGCAGCACGTCCGCGTAGCCGCCCTGGTGCACCGCGCGGGCGATGCGCGGGTGTTCACTTCGTCGAAACCCTCCATGGCCTTGTTGCGGTTGTACTCTCGGCCCTTCAGCAGGTCATGCACGGCCACGGTGCGGCCGTAGTAGTTGATGTCGTCGCAGGGGTTGGGCGTGGCTGGGGCCAGCGGGTTGGTGCCGTCCGTGTTCCTGACGCGGAAGGCGATCTTGATGGACTCGGGGTCGATGAAGGACGTGCCGCTGGTCAAGCCCTCGTAGAACCTGGTGGTGGAACCCTCGTGGAACCAGCCACCCGGACCACCCGCAGCCCTCGTAGAACCTGGCCTGGTGGAACCCTCGTGGACCTTACCTCAAACCACTCGTAGAACCTGGTGGAACCCTGGTGGAACCCTGGTGGAACCTTGGTGGAACCCTGGTGGAACCCTGGTGGAACCCTCGTGGAACCTTACCTCAAACCACCCCGGACCACCCCGCAGCCCTCGTAGGGAACCCTCGTGGAACCTTACCTCAAACCACCCCGGACCACCCCGCAGCCCTCGCAGAACCAGGTGGAACTCTGGTGGAACCCTCGTGGAACCCTCGTGGAACCTTGCCTCACGGCCGCCCCGGACCACCCCGGAGCCTATCTGGGCTGAGACCCCAAAGCTTTCAGCTGTTGGGGGAAAAAAAAAACGAGTCACACAGTCATGGTTTACACTGGCAAGCGCTTGACAGAAGCCTCCCTTCTATCGACAAGGGCACATGCCCTTGTCGATCAACCAGGTGCTTAACAATGCGGGGTTCCAATTGCAAAGAACGTTGAAAAAAAGATGGAACAAACTCAGTCGCACCAGGTGTTGGTTCCACCGAGCTAACTCAGGTTCATACATTCCTTTGCAAACCAGGTTGAATGTCCTATTTAAATCGAGATATGCCAAAAGGGCATGTCAAACAATTACGAGGGGCTCCATCGACTCCCCCCACGTGCGATTTCTTTGGGACCGTGGAGGGGCCTCAAACCAAGGCGCCGTCAGCTTGCTCAGGTCTTTCAGGTTGCCCGAGACTTGGGTCCCGCGTAGCGTGGCAGTTTGCAGTCTGGTCAGCTTCCCCAAGTCGGCCAGGTGGCCTTGCCGGGTAAGTCGCCTCTCTCGCTCTCTCTCTCTCTCTCTCTCTCTCTCTCTCCCTCTCTCTCTCTTGCTCTCTCTTCCCCATGATATGCCACCAAGAATCGTTGTTCTCAAGCACTACTAAAATGAACAAAAATTGTCAAAAGCTAGACACATAGGTCACCAGTAGGACAAAAATTAATGATCTCTCCGTCCGCGTGTGGCTTTGATCGGAGACAATCAAAGATTGTGGGTTGCTTTGATTGCTTTGCACCCAATATACCCTTCCGTCCAAACACGCCAAAGTGGAAGAAAACGGTCTTCTAGGACCTATTTTCAGTCAGGTTCCAGGTCGGCGGATAGAGGGGTGGATATTCTTGGGAACTTACTTGGACCCAAGAATAAGACGGAAAAATGTCCCAAACGCCAACCAACCTTGCGGGGTTGCACTCCACGAATCTCCAAAAAGACCTGCCGAAATCTCTACGTGAGCTTGCGCAAGTTCTCTTCATACCGGCAGACCAAGGCCTCCAAGACTTTTATCAAACATCTGCGAGTCTCGTAGGATCCCTGCAATGTTCCTGCAAATTCTGTGAAGATCTGTGCACATCTCCGAAAGCTTTCTGCGAATCTCGGTTTGCGGGACCGCAGATTTTGTTTGGAAGAGCTCAAGCTCATGGCGCGAGACCTTGTTCAAATGTTCAAACTTCTCAAGCAATGAGAGAAGTCTTTCACCCTTGCTGGAAATTCGCACCACGGAGAGAGCAATACCCATCTAGTGGGTTCGCTGTCACCTATCAAACTTCGCGCAAGCAAATCCGACCCCGAAGTCCACAAAGGGTTCCCTTTCGTCGCACCGTGCGACGGCGAAAGCGATACACGCCAAAGTCTGCAAAGGATTGACGCGTTCAGACTTTGCCCCACGCTACGCGAGCAAGCCCCCGAAAGTCCTCAAAGGGTGCACAGACAAAACTATCAAAACAAAAGGTTCCGAGTCAGGCACTCCAAACGGCGAGCACGTTGATGAGAACACGATCGAACCTGGACCCTTTCTGTCGTGCACCTCGCAGCTCCACCCGTCATAATTGCAGAAAGTCTGCCAAAAAATGTCATACCAGGAACGTGGGTTGCCATGCTTGTGACTGCTTCCCCCAAGAAAGTGGCAACTTAAAACCAGCATTTCACGACTGGCTGGTGCTTTGAAATCTGCGATCTGCTCAAATGCTTGGCGCTTGGGGAGTGTCCGTCTTTCTCCCAAAAGCCAGCCAACACACAAAAGAGCACATGTAACAAGTAAACCGACATAAACCAAAACTCGGTTTTAGCAGGGCCCCTCGTTATCAAAGTCAGTCCCTCAGCCATTGACCAACCAACCAACCAACCAACCAACCAACCAACCAACCAACCAACCAACCAACCAACCAACCAACCAACCAACCAACCAACCAACCAACCAACCAACCAACCAACCAACCAACCAACCAACCAACCAACTGACAAACCAGAGGAAACAAAAACTTCAGACCCCTTTTCCGCGCCTACCACAGCCCCAGCTTCTGTCAGCCGCAGCTCCTCCAACATTTTGAACTCTTGCAGTGCGTGCAAGTCCCCCGTCACGCGGGTCCGGTGCAAGCGCAGTCTTGTCATCCTCCTGGCGAATTCGAATTCTGGTTGCGTCTGTCCAATATTCCCATCTCCTTCTTTCCTGCTCTTGGGATTACACCGCCAGGCGAAGATACCAAGAGATAGAAAGGAAAGTAAGGATATGAAAGGAAGGGCATGCCTTCTCTCTCGGTCACTCTTTCCTGCATTCAAGAATTCCCAACACGAAGGCATTAGAGTAAGGGAATGAGAGATATAGAAAGGGAAAGGTGCTCAGAGTCTTACATCAGGCCGTTGGCTTCCTCGTAGTGAAGGATGACTCAATTTCTGAGAGACGAGGCAAGTGACAGTGAGGAAGTCCTTACACCGTTCATGCTGGACAGAACTACTTAGCTGTAAAGATGAATCACTTTTCAATTTGTGGCTGGGTACCCCTGTTGAAAATGCAAAATCTGTGACTATTGGTCTTAGAAATGGAGCAGAGACTTATAGCTAGCAAAAGCGAGCGGGGATTGGCGTGCGAATTATTACAACCACTCTCCTTGTTCAAGGAGGCATTCTGTCAGAGGTGCAAAAGACGGTCGCTATTTCTGACACGGAACAGAAGAACCCGCGAGTGTCCAAAACAAGTGCTGCCAGCGGTTCTCTTGCCGCTGTGCGATGAGCCGCTCCCCACTCCACGCTCCATTTTCGTGTAGTGTTTGTTTTTCTTCTCCTGGGCAGTTTTGAAGACCTAGTTACACGGCTTGAACAAAAGCCGTGTGGGGGGTGTGAGGGTGAAGGGGTGAAGTGAGGGTGAACTGGGGGTTCACCGATCAGTTGCAACTTTCCAGAAACAGGAGGAAAAAGAAATGAAAATGCAACCACAGCAGCAGTACTTTGGAAAAATACGAGCTTGAATCTGCCCTGCAAGTGGTGGTTTCAAGGGAAATCACTTGGGACGGGCATTGGCTTCTTTGTCTGTGAGGCTTCCACTGCAAAACCAGGAGAAAAAACAACAACTTGCCAAACTGTTCCTAGGCAACCAGCAAAACTCCTCTGATTTTCTAACTATCCGATCTTTTGCCGCCACTCATCCCTATAAATACCTCAAGTCTTGCGGCGTTTCCTTTAGCCGATTGCCCTGGCAGAAATGTCCGCCACCAACAAAAACACAACACTGCTGCGAAAACAAAGCGGTACCACTTGGAGGCACGTGGCATTTGTTTTCTCCCTCATGGCAAACTTCTGTGGTTGCAGCTTGTGGCACTTCTTGAGGTGTGGGCGAGCACAGCTCCTGTTGTCAAGAAGACTCGTTCTTTGATGAGTTTGCCGCTTGGGCTGATGCTCTTCTTGATGCCCGGAACACCTGACCCACCAGGTCTTGGCAGCCCTCACAACAAACAACAACTGGCGAAAGCATTCGAAGGGCTGGAGCTTCCAAGGAACCTGCAGGCCGTATCAGTTCGGGACACTCCACTGAAAGAACTCCGACGGCAATGTGTCCCGGAAAAAAACACCTCGATGTTCGCCGAAACGCCCAAAAAACACCGAGAACAGCCTGAAATCCCGCACTTCCACTCAGGTAGACACTGCGGGCACAATCTCTAAGAGCCCAGATTTACACCACGCAGCCGTACGCGTTGTTGATTACAGCCTTGCACGCAAGCAACAAGGCGTGCAAAAGCTACGGGTCAAAGAAGGCCAATCTACGAGAGGTCAGTGTGACATTCACCCAGCAAAACTGCTTGTTATGGCAGCTGTGGCCCTCCAAAACCCGTGACTTGCCTCACCTCCGGCCGGCAGAAAAACGGCACGAATTAGAATCATGGAACCCGAGAACGCCCAAAAAGAACGGAACATCGCTAATCCTTTTCCCGCCTGAGGTGGCTTAGGCTCCGCAGGTCCCCGGTCACGTTGGTGCCGTGAAGGTCCAGGCACTCGAAAGCCGGCGAGGTCAAAGCCGCGAGGTCGCCGGTGACTTTGGTACCACCCAGGAACAGGGAGCGGAGCTCGGTGAGGTTACCTCGCGGGGAACACAGGCTTTTGGAAGATCCTCTTAAGCCTCCACTTCCATGTGATGTAAAAACAAAAAACGAGCACACATGGGTGCGAAGATATATTGGGGACCCTTTGGAGATCTTTGTGGGGATTTGTGTCCACCAACCGTTTTCCAGGATGTTACCCCAGAAGTACTATTGTGATACAAAATCCACGCCCGCCAGCTGGGATTGGCAGTTTTTCAGCCGAGCCGCAAGGTTTCATCCATGCGGATTCGTGAATTCGTGGGGATTTTGTCATTTTGGCTTTGCCTCATGATTGGCCCAGAAGGGTCCCAGCTCCTTGTTGACTAAAGGGCTCTTCCCAAGTGGCTGAAGCCCGGGAGCGAGTTGCACACACCACTGGATAGGACAAACACAATATTGAAATGGCCGTTTACCGGGGTGACTGTTAGTGGTCTGACTACCTTGGGTCGGTACATACTTCGGTTGCACCAAAAGGAAGAGGATGTGTCCATTTGTTCCCCTGATAAACCGTCTAAAAGCTTCCTTTTGCTTCCCATTTAAAGCAACACATCCGAAGACGATTTCCGGTCTTTGACTCAACAAGAACGGCTTGCGTTTGACTTCCAATAGAAAAGTGCTTCCTTTTGGCTCTCTTGAAAACCCCATCTAAAACCGGGTTGCTTTTGGGCATCCGGTGCCGCTTGCTCAGTTTTGGATGGTGTTGATAGGGAAACCAAAACGAAAGACGTAAGAACTTCAGGCAAGACTCGTCTTTCCATCTTCTGGCTGATTGGCTGATTTCCATCGATGGAGTTTGCGTTCCATCCGGGACTCTGGGGGCAAACGCCCGTGTTTCCGAGAAATCGAGGACCTGCCTTTTGCGCGAAGCCGAAAGAGGATGATCGAACCATAAAGGGGGTCCCCTTCAACTGAGGAGTTCACCTGCCGTCTTCTTAGGGAGGCTATCAATTCGGTATGTCAGGTTGTGGTTAGTACGGAACAGGAACTTATAACGGGGGCGATGTTTGCCTACCCACTTCCCTGACCAACACCACTAGCCCCGTCAAGCTCCACTTCGAGCACTTACATCAACGTTGGCGGAGCCAAAAGGGCATCCAAACAACCTGCTTCAACTTGATCTCATTGATCTCCCCTCATAAAAGGTTTCAAACATCACCTCGTTTAAAGGTCCCGACTCGTTTCGAAGGTGAGTTTCCTTTGCGTGGTTGATGCGTCCATCAACTGGCCATTGTTTTGTACCGCCAACGTCACCAGGGAGAGGGAACCCTTTCTGGAACCCTCTCTCACCTTGATAGTCCCTAATCCAGTCCGAACTACCCTTAGAGCAGGACCGGTCAAAGTTACCCAACTGAGGGCCGGTTGATTCCCCTTGAACGCATCCAGCATCCTTTTGCTCAGGGTTTCCGCTGCAAATCTGATCTTGTGGAGTGGCGCAACATCCGCAAATCCCCGGTGATCCCCGTGTACAGCAGGTTCAAGCGTTTGAGCCCGGTGATGACGGCCAGCTCCTCGATGGATCCGGACACATTTGCCATTTTCAAGAAGAGGGCCTCCACGCGGCAACCATGGCAGCCCACTTTCTTCCTCGGTTTGACCACGCGTCTCGGCGACTGCGGGTAAGCGGCGATTGGGCAATAAAACACCTATAAGTCTCTGTGCATTGGAACCAAGTGCCTGATCGCCTCTTCAAGTACCCTTTCCTGTGGAGAAGGGAAAACAAAGTCACGTGTTCAGTGAAGCCCCTATTCGGTAGTTTCAACCTTTTGCCACGTGGCAACTCACTATTCTGCTATAGAGGTGGTCTTGTTTCGGGTTAGTATATTTGCTGGGTCTAAGGGGAAGCTCTTGGGGGTGCCACATTGTGAGATTCACCAATCACTCAACACTCGAAGGAAACTCACTTTGGAAAGGCCTGAAAAAATGTTCTCAGTGCTCTCTAGAGAAGATTGCATGGGCGTGTCCAAAGGGAAGCCATAAAGACCAGCTACATGATCAGCATACAGTAGCGCCAGCGAAGGCAATGGGCGGAAGCTTCCTAAATATCAAATTTATAGTTATCTGCCTCTGTTGTTTTTGCTTTCGTTGTTTCTTCTTGTTGTTTATCATCGTTCATTGTTCCTTTTCGTTCTGTTTGTCTCTTTGTTCCCACTTGTTTTTTTCATCTTCTCTTCTTTTCCTTTTCAGGCATTTTGTTTCTTGATTTTCTTCCTTCTTTCTGTCTGTCGTTCTTTCCTTCTGTTTGTCTTTCCTTCTGCCCGTTTTTTTGAGTTGTGGTTTCTCCATTTCTTTGTCTCTTTCTTTGCGTCATTTTTCTCGGTTGTCAGAACCTTGTTTCTCTTCAACCTCAATCTTGTTTCTCGATGTCGTCATTTTCCTTCTCTTTCCCTATTTCCCTGTTTTTTGCTTCGTTAACTTTCTTTCTTTCCTTTTTCTCGGCAGCAAGTCAATCCAGAAGCGCTCCTTTTTTTTGCTTGCGCAGCTTCAGCACAGGGCGACAGGCAGGGCACCAAGCACGGCACGAACTCTTGGCAAGCAGGGCGCATAGGATGCAAAACTCTGCGTTCCAACATGAACACGTGGCACACGCGCGGTAATTTTGCACCTTGAACGTCGAGCTGCTACATGCAAACACGGTCTGAGTCGGCACACGCTGTCATTTTGCGGCTCGAGGCTGGTTCGTCGTGGCTGCAGCGCTGGACCGTCGGCAAACCCAGGCGAGACACGCGACTGCGACACTCCCGCGCAGCCTGAGCCGACGCGTGGCACTTGTGTCGGCGATTTGGATAAACAAGAACCACGACGACCGCGCATTCCATTATGATTTGAGAGAGAAAACGCCGACGGTCTCGTTCGACCATCGCATGCTTCCAACTGACACAGCAGAAAGAAATTGCTTCACACGCGTGACCCTGCAAGAGATGTTTCTTCACACGCAAGCAAGTGAACAAATGCATCTTTTCAGACATGCGCTCCAACTTGCACAGCACGCACGCAATCGGTAGATACATCTGGCGCCCTTTCTTCTTCAATCTGTCCACTTATCGGAGTGGTCCTCTTCCATCTCCATCGAGCAATCTATCTAACTAACTATCTATTTGTCCAGCTTTCTCCCTATCTATCCATCTCTGCTCCTCTCCATGATTCCATGTGTCTCTCGATCTGTTTGTGCAGCTATCTACCTATCTTCTCTACCTATCGAGCTCATCCACCCACCTCTCTCTCTACCGATCTATCTATCTATCCATTTATGCGTTTCTGTCGATCTGTCCCTCGTGCTCCCTATCCATCTATCTGTCCATCTATCTATCTCTCTCTCTTTCTCTATCTATCTATCCATCTATCTGTCTATCTGCTGTCAATCTACACATCTCCTCTATCTCTCTCTCTGTCTCTCTCTCACTACTATCTGTCCATCCATATCCATCTATCTATCTGTCCATCTGTCGTGAACCCCAAACCAACCCAACATCAACCCTCAGAAAGAGATTCAAGCCAGCCTTTTACAAACAGCCCCGAGCAACTCCCAACTGCAGCCCACGAGCCAATAGGCGGCCCTCCCAAGGTCCAAGTGAGGGTCTGCCCCATGCTACACTTCCTACCAACAGGCCAGTGCACTGCGCGAGCCATTTTTCCTCATGGCTGTTACAATATCTGCCGACCCCTTTCTAAAAAGCCTCTCAACCCGTGAAGCACTGTTTTTTGGAAGGTATCGGAGGGATATAAGCGAGGCTCATTTTCGCACACTCTACAAAACGCTGTAAATACCGTTAAAAACTGCTGTGCTGTGCTGTGCGTTTTGCTTGCGCTGTGGCTGGCTCGCGTGCTGCGTGGTTTTTGCTTTTTTTCCTTTGGCTTTCGGGCCTTCTGCGCGCGCGCGCGCGCGCGACCACAGCCACAAGACGCTGCTATTTACGTTGTGTTGTTGCATTTGCGTTTCCGGGCTGCTCTTTTTTGGGGTGCTCTTTCTGGGGCCTCTGGCGCGCGCGCGCGCGACCCCATGTCAGCCTTCTGGGTTGGGGCCCGGCTGGGGCCCAGAAAGCTGGCATCCCCGGCATCATCTGGGGTTGGGGTGGGCAACATGCATAACCTAACCAGCCATATCATAGCACAGGATACGTTTCTCATACAAAAAACATGACATGACATGGTATAACTACTTCAAAGAGGCGTAGCCGGCTAGAGGCCGCAGGCCGAGAAAATTCACTTTCCTACAATCTCACGGGGCTGGAGGTCCGTTTGTCCGTACCTTCTACACCCTCTCTTGGGGAATTTGTGGGAACCCTGCACCACAAGGATGTTGACCCTTTGGGCGCAAGGATAAACTCAGTCCGGTCCCTTTGCCGATTTCCTGGCTTGCAAGGGGACCAACACATTAAACTCAGTCTGCAAACCACCACGGCAACAACGGAAACCGACAGCATACAGCCAGCATGTGTCATGTATATTTGATGAATTTGGAGCATGGAGGGCAAAGATTACGCATGCAAAATGTGCATTTTGGCATACAGTTCTGTTTGGATGTTTTGTGCGTTCATCGGCTAGGACGTGCTGCCTTTCTTTTGGGACGTTGTATGCATGCGCATTTTGCATGCATTGGTTATGCAGCTTTGGGCGTACTTCATGCATGCACGAGGCATGCAAAATCGCTACTGTGTTTGCTTACATTTTGCACGTAGACTGCATTAAGTTTGGAGCAGACTGCTGTGTCTGCTCGCATTTTGCCTGCACATTGCATGAGATTTGGAGCATTTTGGGCAAAGATTACGCATGCAACATGCGTGCTGTCTTCTTCTGTGCCTTTAGTTTGCATTTTGGCATGCCGTTGTGTTTGGATGTTTTGCGCGTGCATTGGGTAGGACATGGTGCCTTTCTTTTTGGGATGTTATATGCCTGTGTATGTTGCATGCATTGGGTATGTATTTGTGGGCATACTTCACGCATGCACAAGGCTGTGTGCAGTTTGGCGCGCAGCATGCACTTGCGTGTTTTTGTTTACTAGCATTTTGCATTTATGTTGTTTTGCATGCATTGGTTATGCATTTTTGGGCGTACTTCATGCATGCAAGAGGCATGCCGCATCGCTACTGTGTTTGCTTACAAGCATGCACAATTTGTGCTGTCTTCTGTGCCTTTTGTGTGCATTTTTGCATGCCGTTCTGTTTGGACTTTCTGTGCGTTCATCGGCTAGGAGATGTTGCCTTTCTTTTTGGGACGTTATATGCATGTGTATTTTGCATGCATTGGTTGTGCACATTTGGGCATGCTTTATGCATGCCCAAGGCTGTGTGCATGTGGCCTGCAGTTCTGTCTCGACTTTTTGCAAAAGGCGTGGAAAGTACATGCTGAGATGGTGTGTGCCTTTTGTGCTTGCTTGCATTTTGCATGTATATTGCATGAGTTTTGGAGCATTTTGGGCAAAGGCTATGCATGAGAAAAAAGGTCTGGTTCTGTGCCTTTTGTGTGCATTTTGGCATGCCGTTCTGTTTGGATTGTCTTGCAGGCATTCGGCAGCATATGTATATTTCATGCATTGGTTTTGCATTTTGGGGCATACTTCATGCATGCACAAGGCATGCACACTGCGTTGTTGTGCTTTGCTTGCTTGCATTTTGCATGCATGTAGCATGATTTTTGCAGCATTTCGGGCAAGCACTACGCATGCAAAAAGCATGCAACATGTGTGCTGTACTGTTCTGGGTCTTTGTGTGTATCGTTTGTGTGCAATGCATGCTGTGTGCTGCTTTGTTCTGTGCCTTCTGTGTGCGTCTTGACATGCAGTTCTGCTTGGAGCTCCTTTCCTGCATTGGTTATGATTTGTTGCCTTTTGTTTGGGGGATGTTGTATTCTGGGGAACAAGAGTGACACAATCATTGCCTCAAAAGCAAAAATGCATAGCCCATGCATACAAAACAAAGTAAATGCAAAATGCTAGCAAACAGTATGCCGCCCCAGCAAGCACAACACAGCATCACCAGCACGCAAGTGCATACCCCCGAGCAAGCATTTGGATTTTTGTGCGTGCATTGGGTAGGACGTGTTTCCTTTCTTTTTGGGATGTTGTATGCATATGCATCCATTGGTTATGCATTTTTCGGCATACTTCATGCATGCACTAGGCTGTGTGCAGTTTGGCACGCTGCACTTGCGTTCTTGTGTTTGCTAGCATGTTGCATGTGTGTTGCTTTGCATGCATTTGTTATGCATGTTTGGGCATACTTCATGCATGCAGAAGGCGTGCAATATCTCTACTGTTGCATACATAGTGCATGAAATTTGGAGCATTTTGGCCAAAGATTACACATGCAAAATGCGTGCTGTCTTGTTCTCTTGATTGCATTTCGGCATGCTGTTCTGTTTGGATGTTGTGTGCTTGCCTTGGCTAGGACATGTTGCCTTTCTGTTTGCGATGTCGCCTGCATGTGTATTTTGCATGCATTGGCTATGCATTTTTGGAAATACTTCATGCATGCAGCAGGCTGTGTGCAGTTTGGCATGCAGCATACACTTGTGTTCTTGTGTGTGCTAGCATGTTGCAGCTATGGTTTGCATGTATTGGTTATGCATTTTTGGGTGCAATATGATTACTGTGTCTCCTCGCATTGTGCATGCACATTGCAGACATTTTGGAGCATTTTGGGCAAACACTACGCATCCAACATGCGTGCTGTCTTCTTCCGTGCCTTTGGTTTGCATTTTGGCATGCCGTTCTGTTCGGATGTTTTGCCTTTGTTTTTGGGATGTTGTATGCATGTGTGTTACATGCATTGGTTATTGCAGTTGCGAACATAATTTGTGCATGCAAAAGGCTGTGTGCAGTTGGCGTGCAGAATACACTTGCGTGCTTGTGTTTGCTAGCATCTTGCATTTATGTTGTCTTGCATGCATTGCCCCCCAGCAAGCACGACACAGCATCACCAGCACGCAAGTTGCTTTGATTTTGCACGCATTTAGCACGAATTTTGCAGCATTTCGGGCAAACACTACGCTTGTTACAAGCATGCAACATGCGTGCTGTTCTGGGCCGTTTGTATCTTTTGTGTGCAATGCATACTGTGTGCTGTTTTGTTCTGTGCCTTCTGTGCATTTTGACGTGCAGTTCCTCCATTGGCTATGATTTGTTGCTTTTTTTGGATGTATTCTGGGGAACAAGAGTGACTGAATGCCTCAAGAGCAAAAGCAAAAATGCATAACAGTGCAAAACCAATGCATGCGAAACAACATACATGCAAAATGATAGCAAACACAAGAACGCAAGTGTATGCCCCCCAGCAGGCACAACACAGCATCACCACCATTGCCAGCATCATCTGGAACAGGCCGCGCCAGCATACGCAGCAGCATCACCAGCATGCCCAGCATCACCGGCATCGTCTGCAACGTGCGCTCGCGGCCCTAAAACTGCTCGAAACCTGCAAGAAACTGAAGAAGAAAAACAACTCGAAATTGGGTGCAGTCGAACGTGCTTTTTGCGCAAATAACGAGCCAACAAGCTCTGCAAATCAGTGCGACGGACAAACACAACTCCAGCGACAAAGTCGCTTTCCGTCATCTGTGACTCACTGTGATCAAAGTATATGAAATACAAATGGCATATCACAAGAATGAAAGGCCATCCATAACTCCCGCCGTGGAGCTCAGAATCACTGGCCATTATGAAGGCAAAATGGTCGCATCATGAGTTGGGAAATCTCCGAAGCCAAGTGGCCGTTTGGTTTCGGCTTACTTTCCCCTTGCAATTCGTCCAAACCTAGGATTCAAATATGCTCCTACCATCATCATCTTATGTACAGGGCAAATTCGTAAGATGTTACCACGTGTACCATGGTCAAAGCACCTGATACAAGTCACAGTCATGGCATCACTAGGAGTCATTTCATTGGTGGCCAAATTCGCTATTGAGACGAGTCCATGACAAATTCGTGGACTCTGGGGTCAGAGTCCAGCGACCCATGGTCCGACAGACTAGGTGTCTATCATACCACGCGCCAGGTCTTGGATTTCAGCCGCTTGGCAGGTGTTTTTTGAGGTACCATTTTTGGGGGGCGGCTTGGAAGTAAATCCAACATTTTGAGGGTTCCCCCAGTTGGAGGAAAATCCGAATAGACCCGTGAGGGGTGAGACAGATCGACTGACCATCCAAGGGAGCTTTGTTCAAAAGGGAGGAGCTAAAGTGTCCTCTAAGGTTCTGGCCATGGGAAATTTGGGCAGAGGCAAAGCCATGGATCGTGGATTGGTCAAAGCCCAGATGTTGGGTTGTTTACCACACAAGTCACAATCTCCCAAGAATGATGCCCAACAACTCAGGAAGTCATGTGTCACATGGCCTGCTTGTCCTCACTTGTGCAAGCAGCCAGAATACAAAGCTTAGCTCTTTGGGACCTTGACTTCAGGAAGTGAGCTGTCAGAATTTGACAAATCCTTGTTTACTTTGACAAGAGCAGCCGGGCTCACTGCCAGTTTGTTGCATTTATCCCTGTGGATTCTTTACACGGTTTTCAAGCAGACTCGACGCCCTTCACCCCGCAATAGAAATCGCATCTTTCCGTTGACTGGCGAAGAGAAGCCGAGCCTCCATTTGCACACGTCCTTTTCCTGGCCCCTCCGGAGCGCCACGCGGCCCGGGCCATGGCCGATTGAGCGCAGGGCAGCCATCACCACCGGCTGCTCAGGGCCTCAGGTGCCAAACTGGCCGAACCTTTGAGACCGCGCTTCGAACAAGAATCGACCCCGGTTTTGAGAGCTTCAACCCAGACCCTGCGCAAAAAAGGGTCAGAATGGGTCCAATGCTGTTTCTGTTTTGGGGGGTGCACAAGAAAAAGCAAAGGAAAAACATCCCAAGTCAAATAAACCTGTGGCCGTTGCTCGTATTCCAATCAGTTTGGCCTGGCAAGTGGAAGCCGACATCTGAACTTCAGACAGCGCAGCGGTACAAAGGACTGTTCAAAAGCAAACCGGTGGCCAATGTTCGCATACTTTCATCTTGAAAGCCTGCACTGCGTTATTGCGGGGGCGGGGCCGGAACTTCATTCATGACATAGTTTCAAGGACATTTTGCAAACAAAACCGATCGCCATTTTGGAAAAATTGGTGGGCCTCCACGTCTCCCAATCCAAACCTTCCTTGGTTGTCTTCTGGCCCCGAGATAATGCTGCACCTGCATCAAAGAATCTGTGGATTCATCGACTTCCCCAATTCGCCACACTGGGTTCTCACGTCTTGACATTTCACAAGGCTTCCAGTCTTTGTGACGGATACGAGAGCAGGGCAAGGCTTAAAAAAAAATGTTTGAGCGCAAAAGCCCAAGATATTGCTTGCTGGCCAAGATCCAGGGGTTTTTTTGGTCGCTGCTTTAGCCGCAAGAATCACTGCTCAGCCGCCCCGAAAAGTTAAGGCTACCCCCTTTCAGCTTAGTTGCTCAGACGAAAGCGCCAAGTTGCAATTTTTAACGAGAATGCCATGCTCAATGCGATATCTAGAGGGGTGCAATTTCCGCTTGAGCCACGGTTAAACTTTGTTGCTGTTTGTACTGGATAAGGGAAAATCGGTCCCTGGGTTTTGTCTGGGTTTCATGGAAAATTCAGTGAGTCATTTGAGGGCATCCTCTCACCTCCAGGTCACTCAGATTTAAGAACCCTTCAGATAGCCAAGCAGCACAAGGTGATCTTGGGCTTCTTATACTTCTGCCGGTGCCACGGTATAGCGTTGCCACGATCCGGCTTGGAGCCATTGCCTGCTGTCTCCAGTGACTGAAAGCCGTCCTCCACCTTAGACGGCCGCGGAGGAATTGCTAAGTCGTTTCAACCCTTTGTCGCACGATGGCACCTGACAGGGGATTCGTTCAAAGGGGAATTGATCTCCATGTGGTCACACGCGCTCACACGTATACACGCACGAGGCGCACAGGGCTCCGAAAGCTCCGCAGGCTGAAGGTCAAGTGAGGCTATGGGGATACCGCCTGACTCTTTTCACAGACAAGGCAACGAGTATGTCTTAGCAAGGCCAAAATGGTCAAATCCGCACATAATGCCTCAACGACATGACCCAGAATAAGGTAGTGAAGCGGTAAACAATGACAGATCGAATACAAGTGATTGCGGCTTCAAAAAAAACAAAAAGACAAAACCCACCGAATAAAATCTATATGTATATATCATATACTGCAGTTTACATGTGCAATATGAATATATATATATATATATATATGTATATATCTATATTATCACTATTATCATTATTATTACCATTATTATTATCATTATTATTATTATGATTATTATTATTATTGTTATTATTATGTTTGTTATTATTATTATTATTATATTATTATTATTATTGGTATTATTGCTCTTATTATTCGTATCATTGTCATGAATATTGTTAGTGGGTTGGTTAATATCATTACTATCATTGCCGCTCCTACTAGTATTACTGCAGCTAGTACTATTGCTATTGCTATTGCTATTACTATTCCTATTCCGATTACTATGACTATTTTCATTACGACTAATAGCACTATACCTGTTTTCGAGTTGGTGTTGTCATGATGATTGATATTATCATCGTAACTCTCATTATGATAATCCTGATGATTACTATGATTATGTTCATTGCTATTGTTTTCATTACTATTATTATTAGTGTTAGTACTAATATTATGGTTACATTATTACTGTCGTTGCTGTTGTTAGTATTACCATTATTTGTTTAGCAATATTAGTATTATCATTTCTTGTTGTTAGTAGTATTACTACTGTTGTTATTGTTACTACTATTATTACTATTATTATTGTCATTCTGATATTACTATCAAAGTTATTGTTCCTGTCAAAGTTGCTAATTGTTGTGGTAGTAGTCGTCGCCGTCGTCGTCGTAGGAGTAGCATCATTATTATTCTTATGATCATTGCTATCATTCTGTTTTATAATTATTGTTTATTATTGACGTGTGTTTGTAAAATATCATCTATTATATATATATATATATGTATATATATGTGGTCTATATGTGCGTGCGTACAAACAAAAGGAAAAACGGGAAGGAACACAACAACCTGAGCAATCCTGCCCACCTTACCTACCCAGCGAAGCGAGGCTGCAGTGCCGGGCTTCCTGAATTGAATTCCACTTTCCGTTGCTTCTCTTCGTCAAAGCCGTTTCATTTATCATCCCCGCAATCCTATCATCCCGACTGGAAAACAACACCCGAATGACCCATCCACACGCCTCCAAAATCCTCGAAACCTCCCTCTCCATTCCCAGCCCTCAAGCAGGCAGGGGTTCCTTAAAGGATACGTCCCCAAACCACCGATGGATCCTCCAACCTTGCAAACATCATTGGCCAACTGGCCCAAGTGTATTCTGTCAGACCCTCTTAAGAAGGGCCGAATCGGGGATCTTGTGGGCAGTTCACGAGAAACTCCATTCCTGAGACCCAAATATTTCCAGCCCGAAACAAAAGGAAAAAAAGACCGGGGGGGACGACTCTTCAGGATATCCAATCTGGCGGTGTCCTTTTGTGTCCCTCTTAATTTCCGACCGGAAACAATCGTGATCAACAATGACTCTGAGACAGATGATCGGGCACTTGGATGGTTTAGGCGAAATCGCCAAGTGTTAGTTCAGCTGCAGTCAGCCCCCAGTTAACCTCTCTTGTGCAAGCCTTGTAAACAGGGCTAACTCGCTGGGCAGGAGTCTTCATATCCAGCGTCATACCCCAGTTAGTGGCAGTCCCTTTGTGGCTTTTCTTTAAGCAAGCCCAAATTTATGGCTCCAAGCCAAATGGATCCCTTAAATGGATCGCTTCAGAACTTTCGGGACACAAAAGCAAAAAGAAAGTTGAAGCCAGTGGGGGGTTCATTTTGGGGCGACCCAAATGCCGGCAAAAGCAAACATGTTGCCAAAGGCGTCAGAAGAAAGATCGATGAAACTAAAATAAGTTCATGTCCGTGGTCAAAGCAAAATCTGTGGGCCATGTCCATTTTTCAAGCAATGCAAATTATTACATTTCTTGTCTGGATTCCCTACTCAGGGATTCATGACCATTCCGACCAAGCAACAAGGGCTAATCGAGGCACGCATGATGCAGGTGACCCAGCTGCCAATCTACTCCCTCGTATTCTTCCCTTCAGCTTGGGGGATGGATTGCCGGATCTTGTGAACACTGGGCAAAAAGCGCACCAGGGAGGATGGAACTGAAGAAACTGAGGAAACCACCTACCAACTCAGCAGAATTCTCATCCAAGCCGCCTCGGAGCTGGGCCGCAGCGCGCAAATTGGAGCAAGAAGAGCCAGCCACGCAAACGTCACGGCCCAGCCGCGGCTCTCGGCTGTCATGAAGCCATGAAAATCAAGGGCCGGGTTCAGCAAGACCAGCCAGAGGTCTTGACTAGACACCAACGAACATCAGACCTAAAGGCCTACAGGAAAGAATTGATGCGCCAAGGCTGATGACAAAACTGATAATTCCGTCAGTGTGTGAGTTGGCAAACAACGTTCGCCTGCTCACATTGAGCCGACGCTTCGCAGACCCGGGCAAATCGAGGAACCTACTCCGCATGATGCAATCTGGCCTTTGGTTATAGTGCGTATCTATCAGTTAGCACTTTTTAGCAGGCGGCACAGTTAGCACATCCCTGGGTTGGCCGGAATGCCCCCGTCAGCCCCGAACAGTTAGCACACACCTGCCACACCCCGAAACCGAAAGGGGCGACCAACAGTTAGCACATGCCTCTCTGGTTGTGGGCAGAGATACGCTTTCTGAAACGAGCAACTTTCGCAATGCAGTACAAGTGTAGTAAAGGAAGTACACTTGGCAGATCCGTCTCAAAAGTCGCAACTTTTCAGTACAAGTGTAGTAAAGGAAGTACACTTGGCAGATCCGTCTCAAAAGTCGCAACTTTTCAGTACAAGTGTAGTAAAGGAAGTACACTTGGCAGATCCGTCTCAAAGGCCGCAACTTTTCAGTATAACTGTAGTACAGGAAGTACGCATTGGCAGCTCCAGCCCGGACGTCTCAACTTTTCAGTACAAGTGTAGTACAGGAAGTACGCATTGGCAGCTCCTGCCCGGAAGCCTCAAGTTTTCACTACAAGGAAGTATGCCTTGGCAGCTCCGGTTCGAAAGTCGCAACTTTTCAGTACAAATGCAGTAAAGGAAGTAGATTTGGCAGATCCAGCTCGAAAGTCGCAACTTTTCAGTACAAGCGTAGTAAAGGAAGTACATTTTGGCGGCTCCGGCTCGAAAATCGCAACTTTGTGTAGCAAAGGAAGTAGATTTGGCAGATCCGGCTCGAAAGTCCAGTACAAGCGTAGTAAAGAAAGTACACTTCGGCACCTCCAGCTTCGCAACTTTTCAGCACACTCAATCAGTTATCAATTTTTGTCCTAGGCAGATAGCACATTACTGTGTTGGCCGGAATGCCCCGTCAACCCTGAACAGTTAGCACACACCTGCCACACCCTGAAACCCAAAACAGCGGTCAACAGGTCGCACATGGGGCTCTCTGGCTTTGGGCAGGCGAACAGAACATTAAAGGGCTACATACGCTTTCTCGAATGTTCATGGAAGCACACGTGTCAAATCTTCACTAAGCGTAGAAAATTGCAGAACCCAGTGAGCCTATGATGGAGGAAGGGTGTGCGGTGGACTGGCTTACATGGAGCTTGCGTGGATAGGTGATGCTTTACTTGGCCCTAGTACTTTGTTGAACGTTATTATTGTGTTACAGTGTTTTCGAACTTTGGCAGCTCCGGCTCGAAAATCGCAACTTTGTAGCACAAGTCTAGCTACGAGAGGTACACTTCCGCAGCTCCAGATCGAAAATCCCAACTTTGTAGCACACAAGTCTAGCACGCGAAGTGCACTTCCGCAGCTCCAGCTCGAAAATCGTAGTGCAAGTCTAGTGCGCGAAGCCCACTTCCGCAGCTCCCCCCTTTACCAAAGTGGTCTACACGTGTTTTGTCCGTGGCTCTTTTGTGTCCCACGACTTGTCAGGGTGAAAGACAAGAGTTTGCCAACATACAAATGGATTGCCAGGTGCCAAATTCTACCGCGTTGACGTGTGGAAATCCAGCAATGCAGCTCCGGCTCGCAAGTCGCAACTTTTCACTACAAGTGCAGTAAAGGAAATACACTTTGGCAGCTCCGGCTCGAAAGTTGCAACTTTTCAGTACAACGAAACTTTGGCAGCTCCGGCTCGAAGGTCGCAACTTGTCAGTACAAGTGCAGTAACGGAAATACACCTTGGCAGCTCTGGCTCGAAAGTCGCAACTTTTCAGTACAAGGAGATACACTTTGGCAGCTCCGGCTCGAAGGTCGCAACTTGTCAGTGCAAGTGTAGTAAAGGAAGTACACTTTGGCAGCTCCGCCTCGAAAGTCACAACTTGTCAGCACATGTGTAGTAAAGGAAACGCACTTTGGCAGCTCCGGCACAAAAGTCGCAACTTTTCAGTACAAGTGTAGTAAGGAAATACACTTTGGCAGCTCCAGCTCAATGGTCGCAACTTGTCAGTACAGGTGTAATAGACAAAGTACACTTTGGCAGGCAAACGTACAAACGCTCGGGCTCCCGCTTGGGGCGACACGGATGCCACGCAACAGGCGACAGCAAATGGAAGAGCAACCGCGTTCGAGTTTCTGCTCGGGCCGAGCACGGGTGCCACGCAAGGGCACAAGCAAAGGCAAGCGAAGCCACGCTCGGCGCTCGGATCCCGCTCGGGCCGAACGCGGATGGTGAGGACCAAAAGCAGACACAGTCGGGATCCCGCTCGGGCCAAACACGTGCGCCGCGCCAAGGCGCAGATAAGGACCACTCGGGCCAACTACTATGGATGCAACTCGCAGGCGGCTGAAAGGACCAAAACGGCCAGGCTCGCTAGCCCGCTCGGGATCCCACTCGGGGCGAGCACGGGTGCCACGCAAAGGCGTCAGACCCTCTTGCCGAAGCATACAGTTAGCACACGCCAGACCCGCTTGCGCCTCCTTTGGCCGTGTCAGCCAGGACTCTTCGCATCACGCTTGCCAACGCGCTTCTCCTACAGGTTTTTTTTGCCAAGCAGACTCGCTCGGGATCCCGCTCGGGCCAAGCGCATCAGTCCTGAAAGATCCGCTACCTCGCCACCACCTTGCGACAGCGAGAAGAATCGCCACGCTCGGGAGTCCACTCGGGATGCAACACGCAGGCGGCTGAAAGGACCAAAACGGCCAGGCTCGCTAGCCAGCTCGGGATCCCGCTCGGGCCGGCTACGGATGCCACGCGAAGGGGCCTTGGCGGGCAAACTTAAAACTTTCAGGATCCCGCTCGGGAGAAACGCGGATGCCACGCACAGGCATGTGCGAACGCAAGCGCCAACGCACTTGGGCTTCCGCTCAGGCTAAGCAAGCTTCAAGAATCCGCTCAGGCTGAACTTGTAAGGCCCAACATACGGCCAAACCTCTGACTTACAGTTAGCACACGCCAGACCCTAGCGCCTTCTCAGCTGGTGTCAGCCAGGACTCTTCGGATCATCACGCTTGCCAATGCGCTCCTCCTAACTACAGTCTTTGCCCTTCACTGAAATGGCAACGCAGCAGTTTTAGTGCGTGGCATGCACCCCCATTATTCGGCGAAGGGCGCGCTTCTCCCTTAGGTGCATCCATCGCCGCAACTGCGGCACCCCCCCCCAGGATGTTTCGAAGTGATGATGATTCTGGCATGGCAACCTGCAACAGCACCCTGCGCAACTCTGCAGCACCTTGCGCAGCTCTGAGTCTCGTCCTGCCTTCCTTCCTTCCTTCCTTCCTTCCTTCCTTCCTTCCTTCCTTCCTTCCTTCCTTCCTTCCTTCCTTCCTTCCTTCCTTCCTTCCTTCCTTCCTTCCTTCCTTCCTTCCTTCCTTCCTTCCTTTGCTTCCTTTGCTTCCTTTGTTTCTTTTGCTTCCTTTGCTTCCTTTGCTTCCTTTGCTTCCTTTGCGTCTTTTGCGTCTTTTGCTTCCTTTGCTTCCTTTGCTTCCTTTGCTTCCTTTGCTTCCTTTGCCTCCTTTGCTTCCTTTGCTTCCCTTGCTTCCCTTGCTTCCCTTGCTTCCCTTGCGTCCTTGCTTCCTTGCTTCCTTGCTTCCTTGCTTCCTTGCTTCCTTGCTTCCTTGCTTCCTTGCTTCCTTGCTTCCTTGCTTCCTTGCTTCCTTGCTTCCTTGCTTCCTTGCTTCCATGCTTCCTTGCTTCCTTGCTTCCTTGCTTCCTTGCTTCCTTGCTTCCTTGCTTCCTTGCTTCCTTGCTTCCTTGCTTCCTTGCTTCCTTGCTTCCTTGCGTCTTTGCTTCCTTGCTTCCTTGCTTCCTTGCTTCCTTGCTTCCTTGCTTCCTTGCTTCCTTCCTTCCTTCCTTCCTTCCTTCCTTCCTTCCTTCCTTCCTTCCTTCCTTCCTTCCTTCCTTCCTTCCTTCCTTTCCTTTGCTTCCTTTGCTTCCTTCGCTTCCTTCGCTTCCGTGCTTCCGTGCTTCCTTCCGTCCTTCCTTCCAATGCCCATGTAAAGCTATTTTGATGCCACGCCTTATTTCAAAGACCTTGAACAATCCGACTGCCAGACTAGTTGGAGTGCTAACTGTTGGGCCTCAACCACGGCTTGGGAAAAAAACGCTGCGCAAGCCGTGTGCTAACTGATTGATACCCACGATAGGGGGGCTGCGAATTCAGAAATGGTGGCGGAATCCAAGCCGTGCGCATGGCCTAAACTACAGATTCGTCACGGCCTACGTAATGTTGCAAATTCAAACGAGGCCGGTGCGCATCTATGGGTAACGGTTGACCCTTTCCTTCACAGTTGAGCGTGCGCGTTCCTTAGTGGTGAATTCACCGACCACAAAGCGCATGATAACGGTTGGGTTTCCCAGTGTCAGGACTCCGCTCGAACAGGCACGTGAATAATTTGGTACGCAACGGTTCCCTGGTCATAAACGGGCACATTTGCACTTGCGCATGAAGGTGTTCTTTAGTCGGGAAGTTAACCGCCAGAAAGGGTATACTGACATGTGGGTATGCGAGGTTTTCTGGCCGTAAACTCATTTCCGCAGAAACTACTGCATTTGCACGCACAACGGTTGCTCGGTCGTGAAAGGGCACATTGCATATATGCGCATGAACTTGCCAAAATGGGCACGTTAACATTTGGGCATACAGAGCGGCGTGCACCCAAACGAACACATGGACATTTTCGAGCATCACCCCAAGAACTACAACTGCAAAAACTCGCGGCGCCAAGCCTTCCAATAAAAAAAAATGGATCCTCAAGATCTATGAACACGCGCAGCTACAAAAAGATGCACATGCTGCACATGGTTTGTACGGTTGTTACACTGCCATAACACACCATACGCGGGGCAAAGCGCAACACAAGGCGGTTGCCTCATGGATGGCTCAGGAAAATCTCAAAAGCACGGACCACCGCCTTGGGAAGTCCAGAAATGAGG